TTCAAGACCGATCTAACTTCAAGTTGCTCCCGGACCGAAGTAGTTTAACAATTCACGAGCCGAAGTAACTTCATCTCTTTTGGCCGGAGTAACTTTATCTTCATTGGGCCTGAGTAACTTTTCGGCTCTTTTTATTCAGTCTGTCATACTTTGGGCCATAAAGTCCGTCTCATAGCTCGGCCCAATTTTCACTCAAAATTACCCTCTCAATTGCCCCTTAATTCCATCTGCACAGCATGATTGGGATTACCAAGTGTCCAGCCGAACTAAACGTTTTCAAGCCTTTCCAGCCGAACTAAAACATCGTTTTAGCCTCTCCAGCCGAGCTTAATTTCACTCCGGCTTTAATTGTTCGGTCAAAACGTCTCTTCAATCACTGACTGTAACGCTTCACTTTCCAATGACACGTGGCAGGTTCTGATAGGCTGTGAGCTGTTATCACGCCGCCCTCGTACTTCGAATTTTTTGAACAGTCCCGCCCCTTTTTGCCGCTTTTTCTCTCTCCTTTTTCACAAAACAACCTTTCTATTCTTGAATCATTCACTTATACTTTTCACATTCTTCTCTCTCCGAGCCTCTGCCTTTCCAACCTGTGTTTGTGTTCTTCATTTGCAGCTACTGTCTCCATCTCTAGTCCCCTTCTCTCCAATCTGGTAAGTAAATCTATTTTCCTCCCTTGTTTTTGCTTTCGTACATGTTTTAGGCATTTTGTTTACTGTATTTTCGAAAAACATGTTCTTTCTTTTCTGCTTTGCTTTTTGTATTCTTATGAAAAAATTAGTAAAAACTCATGCGTGTACGAACTATTCTGTAGAAAACTGGTCTTAAATCCAAAATCAAGTAGCAACCGAACTAGGACACTGTTTGTCCTATATAGGTAGATCACTTTAGATTATAACCGAGCTACAACTTGTAGAAATAGCAGCAGTTCAACTCTTAAGTCACTCTAGCCGAGATAAATCCACCGAACGAAGTTTGAACTCCTTTGTTTAGGAACCTCGGTCTCAACCGAGCTAAGCCTTTGGAGCTAAGCCAGCTTTCCTAGTTTCTAAACCAAACTCAGAAAGCTGCCCCTAGAGGCTCAACCGAAATAACAAAACTCCTAGTTCAACCGACTTAGGCCTTTGGGGCTGAACCAGCTTTCTTAGTTTTTTAGACCGAACTCAGAAAGCTGCCCCTAGACGATGAACCGGTCTAAAAATTGTTTCCAAAGCCAGTATGCCGAGATGTCTTCCAAGATTTGATCAATAAGCACTTTGCTCAAACCGAGCTCCCAAACATTTTCGCTGAACCGAGGTAGAACCTGTCTTTAAAACCGAAGTAGGGCTCTTTTACCATGCTTTTAATTTGTAGCACGGTCCAGTGATCTGTGCTTAACCCCTTTGTTTTCTACTTTGCAGACTTAGGTTGCCCAGGCACTCCTGCGTGCGCTCGACCGAGCTACTGGGCACAATATTTGCACCGAAATAACTTATTCTTAAATTATACGATAGATGGGGAAGTATAGATACCTAGTAGATACTTCGGGCGGCCTAGCCGAATTCAGGAAAGACTACCAAATCCCTGATGACGTCCAACTGGTTTTGGCCGAAAAAGACATCATTCCCTGGGATAATGAGGGCTTCGTCCCCTTCACCCTTTTATCCATCATAGAAACCGGACTACGGTTTCCGGTTCAACCGTTGATTTGTGAATTTCTTAGGTAGACCAGACTATGCCCTACCCAACTCTCCACCAACTCCTACCGCATCATCATGGGAATAGCCGAACTAAACCGAAAAGCCGGACTAAATCTTGGCCTGGCCGAAATTTTTCATCAATACTCCATCGGCTCAAAAGAGGATGGGTGGGTCTATTACCTTAGGATTCGCCGCCACCGAGAGAAGATAGTTAAATACACACCGGACAAAGACCTTAATGACGACGATTTTTTCTGGGTCTCTGGGAACTTTGAGGATTTTCAAGCTCAAATTCCTGGCCGACCTATAAATTAGAAAAAATGAGAGCTTGGTAATTTAACTTCGGTCTTCTTCCTTGCATTTTTTACTTCGGTGTTTTAATGTTTCAGCCGGACTAACAGTTGTCTTTTCTCGCAGATTTTGCCCACCTTTACTCTCTATACAGTTATCCAAACCTTGCAACTTTGCGAGCCGCAGTACGATATCCTGAACGTAGCTGGGCCAAATTGCTGCAATTCGAGCCGACCTACCGATATAGTGGTCGCCGGAAAGCCAGAGTGACCGACTTTCTTCTTGAAGACGTCCCAGAACCGGACCCCACCTTGCCCGAGATCAAACTGATCCCACTGACAGCCGAAGAAGAGATGGCGAAAAAGAACAGAGTCAGGGCTCTTTTAACCGAGACAACAAGGCCTGAAGTAACGCCACCCAGCCAATCGCAACCTGCTGTTGTGGCCCTCCCTTCTCAACAACCGTCCTCTTCTCGCCGAACCAAGCGCGCCCGGACTGCTGAGACCAAACAAATTTTGGTTGATGAAGCAGAACCCGTACTTCCGCCGAGCTTGCCACCGAGCCCTCAACCGGTACCTTCTGACCAAACTACCGGCAGCTGGGCCCCAAAACTTACCTTCAACGACCGAGACATCCGAGATACAGATTCGGTTGTTGCTGAAAAAGACCACTTGTTGGCCCTCAATCTGGCAAAGGGTGTGTGCCTCCCCAAAGACATGGAGCACCACCAAAAACAACTGAATACTGAACTAAAGGCCATCCGGTCAACGACAAAATCCATGATTCTGGTAAGCAACTTCGGTTGTTTTGCTGTCTACTTTCTTTTTTCAACTTCTACTTCGGTTTAAAGGGAAATCTTTGCTTTGTCAGGCCCTTCAGAAAAACCAAATCACTCATAGGAAAGTACTGGAGCTTAGGAAAGTAACTAGGCAAGCAGCGGCAGAGGCAAAAGCGGCCGAGCTGGAGGAGGCTAGAAAGGAAATGGCCGAACTACGGGGTGAGGTCGGCAGACTGACCGGAATGGTTAGTTCGGCCGAAGCCGAAAAGCAGAAGGTTGCCATTGCCCTGAAAGACAAGTATCTACGCGAGCTGGTGAAGCTAGAAAGGAGGAAGGATGCCGAAATATCAGAGGCGAAGAAGAATGCAAAAGAGGCCGAAAAGAGAGGCTTCAAGAAGGCGGAGGATGTATACGCCCAACAATGTGAGGCTGCCAAGGAGCTGTTCTTTAAGTGCGGCTGGAGGGGAGCTGTTGAGAAGCTCGGTCATGATCCTCAGACCGAGGTTTTCAACCCTCCAGCCTACTTCATACCGAACTCCCTGATGGAATACGCCAATGCCATGCAACA